GCAGTTCCCTGTCGATATACTTCTGCAGCCGTTTGTGAATGATCTTCACCAAAATTTTACTTGCGTGTGATATTAGTGATATTGTTCAGTAATTTGCACATTTGGTTGGATCATCTTTCTTGGGAATGGGCATAAATATGAATTTCTTCCAGTTGGTTGGCCAGGTAGCTGTCTTCCAAATTTCTTGGCATAGATGAATGGGCACTTTTAGCACTGTATCCATTTGTTGAAACATCTCAGTTGGTATTTGGTCAATTCCTGGAGTCTTGTTTTTCACTAATGCCTTCAGTGCAGCTTGGACCTCTTCCTTCAGTACCATCGGTTCTTGAGCTTATGCTACGTCGTAAAATGGTAGAACATTAACCAATTCTTTTTGGTACGGTAACTCTGTGTATTCCTTCCATCATCTTTTGATGCTTCCTGTGTTGTTTAATGTTTTCCGCCATAGAATCCTTCCATATTACAACTAGAGGCTTAAATTTCTTCTTCAGTTCTTTCAGCCTTGAGAAATGCCAAGTGTGTTCTTCCCTTTTGGTTTTCTACCTCCAGGTCTTTGCACATTTCATTATAATACTTTACTTTATCTTCTCGAGCCAACCTTTGAAATCTTCTGTTCAGTTCCACTATGTGTCTGTCAGTTTGTAGTACTGTGGTGGCTTGTGTTTTACTGTGATACTGGAAGCTTTGCCACTAGTATGTCAAATACCAGCAGGGTTACCCTTGGTGGACAAGTTTCAGCAGAGTTTCCAGACTAAGACAGACTAGGAAGAAGGACGTGGCAGTCTACTTCTGAAAAAATTGGCCTGTGAAAACCTTATGAATAGCAGCAGAACACTGCCTGATATAGTGCCAGAAGATGAGCCCCTCAGGTTGGAAGGCACTCAGAATACGACTCGGGAAGAGCTGCCTCCTCAAAGTAGATTCAGGCTTAATGACATGGATGGAGTCAAGCTTTCAGGACCTTCATTTGCTGATGTGGTACAACTCAAAATGAGAAGAACAGCTGCAAACATCCATTAATAATTGCAACGTGGAATGTATGATGTTTGAATCTAGGAAAATTGGATGTCATCAAAAATGAAATGGAACCCATAAAGATCAATATCCTAGGCATTAGTGAGCTGAAATGGACTCGTATTGGCCATTTTGAATCAGACAATCATAGAGTTTACTATGCCGAGAATGACAAATTGAAGAGGAATGGTGTCATGTTCATCATCAAAAAGAACATTTCAAGATCTATCCTGAAGTACAACCCTGTCAGTGATAGGATAATATCCCCCTACCTACAAGGAAGACCAGTTAATACGACTATTGTTCAAATTTATGCACCAACCATTAAGGCCAAAGATGAAGACATTGAAGATTTTTACCAACCACTGCAGTCTGAAAATGATCAAACGTGCAATCAAGATGCATGATAATTACTGGTGATTGGAATGTGAAAGTTGGAAACAAAGAAGAAGGATTGGTTATTTGGAAAATATGGCCTTGGTGATAGAAATAACATGAGCGATCACATGATAGAATTTTGCAAGACCAACAACTTCTTCGTTGCAAACACCTCTTTTCAACAGCATAAACAGAGACTATCCACGTGGACTTCACCAGATAGAATACACAGAAATCAAATTGACTACATCTGTGGAAAAATACGATGAAAAAGCTCAATATCAGCAGTCAGAACAAGGCCAGGGCCAACTGTGGAACACACCATCGATTGCTCATATGCAAGTTCAACTTGAAGAAAATCAGAACAAGTCCAGGAGAGCCAAAGGACAACCTTGAGTATATCCCACCTGAAATTAGAGACCATCTCAAGAACAGATTTGATGCATTGAACACTAATGACCAAAGACCAGATGAATTAGGGAATGACATCAAGGACATCATATATGAAGAAAGAGGTCATTAAAAAGACAGGAAAAAAAGAAAAGACAAAAATGAATGTCAGAAGAGACTCTGAGTTGCTCTTGAACATAGAGTAGCTAAAGTAAAAGAACTGAACAGAAGATATGGTGATTAGTACTAACTTTATATTTCTGGCCCAGATCTCTCCACTAAAATCTATAATCATATACCCCTTCTGCATCTCCACTTGGCTATGCACTAGATATCTCAAACTTAAAAAACTGGACAAAAACTAAATATTTGTTTACTTGCTCATCCACCCCCCTCCACCAACCTGCTTAACCTGCTCATCTCCCAGGCTTCTCTAGCGCAGAAAATGGTTGCTCTAATTTCCCAGTTGCTCAGGCCAAAAACTTTGAAATCATCCTTGACTGTCCTCTTTCTCCAACCCCCACCTACAATCCACCTACAAATCCTGTCAGCTCTACTTTCAAAATAATTTGAGAATCTGACTACTTCTTACCATTTCCACCAATAAGAACTATATCAAGCTACTAATCTCTGACCTAGATTATTCTAATAGCCTGCTAACTAGTCTTGCTGTTTCCAATCTGTCTTCCCTGCTGTCATCTATTCTCCACCTAGCAGCAAGGGTAATGTTTTTAAAACCCAACCCTCAAAAGCATCGTATGTTTTCCTGCCTCATTCACAGTAAAGGCAAGACTTTATCATACTCCACAGGGCCTTATAAACTCTGACTGATGGCTGCCTCCCTGCTATCATCTCTTACTACTTTCCTTCTCTTCAGGAGCCCATTAGATGCTGCCTAAAAACAGGATTCATAGTGGAACTGCTGCAGTCATACAAAAAAGAAAAGATAAGTTGAGATCAGAGATGCTGTAGTGATCCTTTTTTCACTCTCACTAAATCAGCAGAATATCTAGAAAAGCAATGATGGTGAAAACACTATCAGAACCTTGGAATATAGCTAAAGCACTGCTTGGATAATAGTTCAGAACTGGGTAATGAGTGATCTAGTACACAAATTCTATCTCACTGGCTGCTTTCTCAGACTACTTCCACTACCAACTATGTCACTTCCGGTCCTCTGGTCAATAGATACTAAAATGGAGTTAGAAGTACAAGAGATTAACTGAGGGAGTACTTGTGAAAGATAAAGTAGAGAAGGAGCCAGAGAAGACAGCTACATCAGACTACGATGTAGCTCAGATACTTATGAAAGGAGAAAGGCAAAGAAAGATTGGATAGGAATGGACTCAAAGTTTCAGCCAACCCACTGTGGAGCTCTGGTACAAAGATTGTTCATAGAGGAGTCCAGGTTGGGCAAAAGTGACCAGGCCCTAGTACCCTGCTCTGCTCAGTCATTGGCTAGGACTGAGAGGGTGTGACTTCCGGGGAGAGTGTGACTTCCATTTGAACAGGGCAGCAGTCCCAAAATTACTGCAGAAGGAGGCTGTCAGCTAACTGCATAACTTTCAGCAGGTTCTCACAGGTTTACAGGAGTAGTACAACTTCATGGCTGCCAGAGTAAAGTGTATAATTATTTTAAGAAAAGTTCAGCATGTTAACATTAAAGTTATTCCTAGGTCATATTTATGTCAGTTTGCTTTTGTGAATGGAATCTTTTGTCTTTTTATAGCTTCTAACCAGTTTTTACAGATGTGTAAGGAAAATGTTGATTAAAAAATTTTTTTCTATCTAGCTACCTTATTTTGAATTCTTACTAGTTAAAGAGTTTTTCAGATGTTTCCTTGCAAAGAATATCTGTGATAAGGTTATTTGCAGATAATAATTGTATCTTCTTTCCAAAAATGATACCTGTGTTATAATTCTGTCAGTATAATGCTGTTGATCTGAAATGATCAATCTTTTTCTTGTTGAGAAAGTACCCTTCTATTCCCAATTTATAGATTTTTTTTTAAACAGAAATGAGAGTTGCTCCCAAATTTATTGTCATTGCTCAGAAGTAAAAAGTTAAAAAATTCTAGACAGGAAAAGGGAGAATTTACTAAGAAAAATACACTGAATTACTTCCACAGACAACAATTCTGATGAAAGTTAATAAAAAACATGATGGAAAACAGTAATGTGTATGTTTTTTAGATTTAAACTCCTGATTTCTTCTAGAGCTAGTACTTGATTCTTAGTAGTTCTCACTTCCTTTCCTAAAATAGCATGGCAAAAAGTAATTAGAACTTTCTTTTCTACATTTCTACTTTTTACACTAAAGAATCCCTGGAAATGGATTGTTCCCCATTTTGCCACCTCTTTTGCCTAGACCCAGCACTATTTTCAAGTAAATCATGGTCTTCTACATAAAATCAATTTTGTCACTTTTGTATTAGCAGACTTCAAAGACAGAAATCAGCAGTGCTTTTAAAAATTTTTTTTTTTTTTTTACTTTTATCCTTATTTCAAAGTAATTTTGTGTTCATTGTAGAAAATTCAGAGAATGTAAGTAAGTGGTTAATTTAAAATAAATCCCATCAGCAAGATAACCATTATTTACATTTTTGTGGATATTCCTCCAGTCTTTTTTCTTTGCATGCACACACTTCTACGAATAAAAATAAAATCATAATATACATGCTATTTAAATCATGAACATTTTGCCATGACATAAAATATTCCTCTGCAACATAATTTTTAAATACTGTATACCTCTGTACGACTATATTGTAGTTTAACCAGTCCTTTTCTTGTGTGCAATGTTTTGAAGCAGTGCTTTTTAGTCACCGAAGAATATTAAATGACCAATTCTTCCCTCACTGATTCCTTTTCTAGAGGATTTTCCTGGCAAATTAAAATACTGGAAAGGGGAAGGACTTTAGAGTCAGGCACACTCTGGATTTGAATCACTGCTCTATCACATGCTAGTTGTGTGACCTCAAACAGGAAGAGCTGATATAAAGTACCTGCACAGAATAGTCATTTCTTGATTCCGTTTCTTCCCTTTTTAAGTGCTTTGTCCGTGGGTAATGCTGGCCTTGAGGAAATTTGTAAAAACATTTTACTATTCTTATACTCTGGACAAAACAGACAACTGATTTTTAATAATCAACTTTCGGCTGCTGATATTCATCCTCTAGTTGTCAGTTTTAATTTTATTTTTTCTCTTTTTGTCCTAGAGATAAGATTTCAGTTTCCACAACTGACGGGAGTGCTTACTCTTGCTTTCTTTATTCATAATTGTATTATCACACTCTTAAAGAACAACAAGAACCAAGAAAACAATGTAAGTAATTATCTGATGAATTAACTTTCATATCTCCTGAGGACAGACTCTTTAAATCAATATTTGAGGCACTTTAGGTTTGGAATACAATTAAGCAGTTTTATTGCTGGATCTTAATTTTTAAATTTAAACCACAGAGCAAAAATCAATAAACTTTTCCTGTGAAGGTTTGGATGGTAAATATATTAGACTTTGCATACCATATAATCTTTGTTACATCGGTTCAACTCTGCCCTTGTAGCATGAAAGCAGCCATAGACAATATGTAAACAAATAAATGCTTTTAAGCGCACAGGTAGCAAGCCAGATTTGACCCACAGGCCATTGTTTGTCAACCCCTGCCATAGACCAACCACTGGAAAAATAAACAGGTATAGCTAGTAAGCTAGTAGTGGTGTTAAGATAAAGGAATAAAAAATGTCCAAGTAATCCAAAAGAAAGCAGGAAAAAAGGAACAAAGAATGGATGGAACCAGTAGAAAGCAAATAGCAAGATAGTACATTTAAACTCAATCATATTGTTAAATTACATTACATATAAATGATCTAAACACTCTGATTAAAAGATAGAGATTATCAGACTGGCTAAAAAGGCAAGAACTAATTACAGTCAGCCCTCTGTATCCACAGGTTCTGCATCCATGGATTCAACCAACCATGGATCAAATATATTTAGGGGGCGGGGGAGGGAAGTGATATGTAGGCATACCCTGCTGTAGCCTCCCACCATTTCATAGATCCTCAGTCTTTCTGCAGCACTCGTTGTTTGAGCATTGTTCACTTCACATCTGACATATACTATGTAGTTAGGCCTACGAAGGTTGCATCTGTACTGAACATGTACAGACTTTTTTTTCTTGTCATTATTCCCTAAACAATACAGTATAACAACTATTTACATTGCATTTACATTGTGTTAGGTATATAAGTAATCTAGAGATGATTTAAAGTATACAGGAGGATGTACTTAGGTTATATGCAAAGTCCTTTTATATAAGGACTTGAGCATCCATGGGTTTTGGTATCCATGGGTGTCCTGGAACCAATCCCCCATGGATACTGAGGGATGACTGTATATGCTATCTACAAGAAACTTACTTTATAACAATATACCATTATCTTAGTTGTATAGTGCTGCTGTAATACAAATACCACAAGTGGGTGGGTTTAAAGAATAGAATTTTATTTTCTCACACTTCTGGAGGATAAAAGTTCAAATCTGGGCCTTGGCCATGTTGATTTCTTCCTTGTTGGTTAGTCCGAGGCATTTCTTGGTTCCTTGGTGTTCCTTTGTTCCTTGGCATTCCTTAAATTGTAGACAATCCTTACATGGTGTCTGTCTTCTCCCATATGTGTGTCTCTGTGCATATCTTTTTAGAGCTCAGAAATGATTAGGTTTAAGATCCACTCTACAATGGTATGGCCTCATTAACATAACAGAAAAAAAAGCCCTGTTTCCAAACAAGATCACATCCACAGGTACAAAGGTCAGGAATTCAACACATATTTTGAAGGGACACAGTTCAGTCCATAACAACCATGCGAACACTAAACATAAAGTGGAGCAGCTGTATTAATATCAGACAAAGTAGACTTCAGAACAAGGAGTACTGTGAGAGATAAAAAAGAACATTACATAATGATCTTTAGAAATCAGTTCCTTAAGAAGACATAATATTTATCAAAGAACTTTACCAAAAAAGTGAAAAGACAACCTATAGATTGGGAGAAAATTTTCAGGAACCATATATCCGATAAGGGTCTGCTATCAAAAAAAAAAAAAAAAAACCTGAACAACATAAAGATAGGCAACCTAATTAAAAAATTGGCAAAGGACTTGGACTGTTCACCAAAGAGGATATTCCAGTGGTCAACAAGCACATGAAAAGAAGCTCAACATCATTAGCCATTACACCCATTGCTGTGTAGTCGATTCTGACTCGTGTATTCCCTATAGGACAGAGTAGAACAGCCCCATAGGGTTTCCTAGGCTGTAGGGAAGCAGACTGCCATGTCTTTCTCCCATGGGGCAGCTGGTGGTTTCGAACAGACAACCTTTCAGCTAGCAGCTGAGTGCTTAACCACTGCATCACCAGGACTCCTTCATTAGCCATTAACCCATAACCCGTTGCCATCGAGTGGATTCTGACTCGTAACAACTCTGTAGAACAGAGTTGTTATGCCCCATAGGATTTCCAAGGAGCAGCTAGTGGATTCAAACTCCTGACCTTTCGGTTAGCAGCCAGGCTCTTAACCATTGCGCCACCAGGGCTCCTCGTTAGCCATTAGAGAGATGCAAATCAAAACTACAATGAGATACCTTCTCACCCCTGTTAGGATGACAATGATTTTTTTTTAAAAAGGAGAACAATAGGGGTTGATGAGATTGTGGATAAACTGGAACCCTTATCCATTGCTGGTGGGAATGTAAAATGGTACAGCCACTGTGGAAATCAGTTTGATGGTTCCTCAATAAGTTGAACATAGAACTATCATATGACCCAGCAATACTAATCCTAGGTATATACCCAGAGGAAGTGAAGGCAGGAATGCAAACGCAGACCTTACACCCGTGTTCATTGCAGCACTTTTCACAATAGCCAAAAGGTGGAAACAACCAAAATGTCCATCAACAGATGAATAGATAAACAAAATGTGGTATATACACACAATGGAATACTATTCAGCCATAAGGAGAAATGAAGTCCTGATGCAGGCCACAACGTGGATGAACCTTGAAAGCATCATGCTGAGCAAAATAAGACAGTCTCAAAAGGACAGATACTATATGATATCACTTATATTAAATAAGCAAATATATAGAAACCAAAGCTTATTAGTGGTTAGCAGGGATGGGGGCAGTTTTTGCTTAGGGGGCATTGAGTTTATGTTAATGGTGGAATGATTTGGAAAAGGATAGCAAGAATTGTTGTACTAATTGAAGAATGTAATCAATGTAGAAATTGTTGAATTGGCATAGGTTTTGTTATGTATATTTTCACCACAATAAAAAAAATTTTGTAAAAGATGACATAATAATTCTAAATGTGTGTACATCCAGTGGCAGAACTTCAAAATAAAGGAAGCAATAAACTGCCAAAACAGAAAGGAGAAATAGACAATTATAGTTGGAGATTTCATCATCCTTCCCTCAGTAATTAATAGAACAAATAGAAAATAAGTAAAGATATAGAAAACATAAAAAAAAACTATCAAGTTACTTGATCTAATTGACATTTATAAAAGTCTTCTCACAATAACAGCAAAACACACCTTGTTTTCAAGTACACACAGAACATTTACCAAGATAGACCATATACTGGGCCATAAAACAATTCTCAATAATTTAGAAGGATTCAAATCATACAAGGTTTCCTAACCATGCTGGAATGAATTTAGAAATCAACAACAGAAAAAAAAATTTGGAAAATTCAGAAATATGTGAAAATTAAGCAACACATTCCTAAATAACCAGTGGGTCAAAGAAGAAATCACAAGAAAAATTAGAAAATAATTTGAAAATGAAGACACACGTACCCAAACTTATGGCATGTTTAGAGGGGAAGCAATGATTAGATAACCTTTTACCTTAAGACACTGGAAAAAGAAGAGCAGAAGAACCCCAAAGCTGCAGAAGTTAACCACTTACTTGTTGCTTTGTCTGCAGATTTTTAATTCTGGTTGACAGCTCCTAACTATGTAAACAAATATAATAATTAAGCCCTAATGGAGGGCTGTAGACTTATTAATGAAATATGTAAAAAGGAAGACTTCATTTTGCCCAGGGGTTCTGAGAAGGCTAGAGTAGAGGGTAATGGTTGACAGAGCCATTATGAAGGCAGAAAGCTTTCTAAGTAGGGGGATGTTCACTCTCAAGTTAGAGCAAGAATGTATGTCAGACTCTTCCTTCTGCAACTACTGTTTATACGTCCAGCATGTTACCTGTGAAAAGAGCATGAGCTTTGGAGTTGGGTAAATCTGGATTTGCCATACCTTCTATCTTGGTGAACTTCCTCCTGCAGATTCATTTTCTTTGTGTGTAAAAATAACATTAATGATACTTACCTCTCAGGGTTGTAATGAGAATGAAATATTATAAAATAGGAAAAGTGTTTACCTTATCTGGCATAAGGTAGGGGCTGGAAATTTTTAGTTTCTCTCTTCCTCTTCCCCTTTCTCTCCTGACATTTATAACCTGTAGCTATTTCAATTAACAGAAGAGAACATCTTCCCCTTTAGGTTCTTTCTAGTGCCTTTAGTTTTGAATTACCTTCTACTCATCTGTTGCTGCCAAAAGCTTATCTGAGATAACTGTTTTCAAAGAGAATATATTAATTCTTCCCCAGGATTCCTTCCTATGATGTTAAATCAGATCCCTAGAAAAGTACATAACTGAACCACATCAGTTTTGCCCTTCTCCCTTCTCTTACCACTGCACTAGGCTTTCATGTTTTGTCTGGTGTTTCACCAAGGACTCATGGTAATATAAGAAAGCCATGTATGAAACATTGCTTCATTGTTTTATAAGAACTATAATTAGGATATTCTTGATATTGCTCATCATCCTTTATGCAAAGATATTGGAAATAAATTATTCTCTGTGTTCAAGTCTAGGAAAAAGTTTCTCCTAATGAACCGTGATTCTTAGAATTAGACAATAAGGATCATATAGCTCTTCTTTTTTCTGTTTTTGCCATGATTTCTGGAAAACTTAAGGTTTAAGTTTTTTTTTTTATTTTTTATCTCCCTTCCACTTTAAACTTGGCTTTTATCTTGGACATTTTTGGTCTTATTGTTACTTAGACTGTTGTCATAAACAATTTTAAATCTTTTGAGGAAATCTCAAGAAAGTCTTAACTGTCCTAAGTAAATTTTCAGAACTTTGGAATGTGGAAGCAAAACTGAGGATATACTTAATGCCCTTTACTTTTAAGTCCTTTACGCTTCCCTTTCAAATCACCTGACTCATTATCACCTGAACTAAGCTGCCTAGGCTAAGTT